TTAGGAACCAATGCTTAAACAATAAAATTCAAATTCAGTTTTGGAATCTCGCTTATTATTGGTAGCCATTTTAATTTTAAGGATAATTTTGCAGCCACTCTGTGCTAAAACGTAGTGCACCGGCTCACTTATTCCGACTGTAGTAACAGATATGTAAGTCTCAAATTTTAAGATTAGAATTTGTAAACGTAAAGAGTTATAATATAGAATCTCACTCCTCTGGTGAAAAACCACCTCACTCACCACCTCACTCACCACCTCACTCACCACCTCACTCACCACCTCACTTACCACCTCACTTACCACCTCACTTACCACCTCACTTACCACCTCACTTACCACCTCACTTACCACCTCACTCACCACCTCACTCACCACCTCACTCACCACCTCACTCACCACCTCACTCACCACCTCACTCACCACCTCACTCACCACCTCACTCAACACCTCACTCACCACCTCACTTACCACCTCACTCACCACCTCACTCACCACCTCACTCAACACCTCACTCACCACCTCACTCACCACCTCACTCACCACCTCACTCACCACCTCACTCACCACCTCACTCACCACCTCACTCACCTGTGAGAATTAATCCTGACTCATTATCTTACACTATGGATATTACTATTATTATTATAATCAAGGGGGAAGCGCTAAACCCGGAGGATTATACAGCGCCTGGGGGGGGGATGTGGAAGGCATTCAGGCTTAATTCGGGGAACTGGAGCACAGATCTAATTCCCTAAATCAAGAGCCCCTCACCAACATCAAGGAACCTTCCCTGAGGGGTTACACTATGGATAGATAACTTTACAGTTAATTATAATAATGTTAATTTCTCTATGTCATAGAAAAAATATAGTTTACATGAAACAGAACAATGGAAGGCACCAAAGAATGCCACTGAGGCTCCAGTGCTCATAACACTATATACAATTCTTGTACTACTACTACTACTACTACTACTACTACTACTACTACTACCACCACCTCTTCCTGCCTATATATAGCCGTCCTGCTCCACCTCTGTTAGTGTGACTTTGTCAATGGTCCAAGTCGGACCGAAACGTCGTCGTAAGCTTCTCTCTTTTATGTGCGGGTTATTTGTGTATAACACTATGCATTTAAGAATTAAGGAAAGCTTATTTATCAAACAATTTAAAGTTAAGACACATGTGCAATATGTGTGTGATGAATGGTTTGAAAAACCGACAAGTTGAAGATTGAGACACTTATGCAGCATATGGGAATCTTTATTCAGGAAACGTTTCGCCACACAGTGGCTTCATCAGTCCAATACAAAGAGGAAGGCGTAAGGAGAGGAGGAGAATGAGGTAATCAGTCCCTCAACCTGGAGTCGATGTGTTCAGTCCATCAATCTTGTAGAATGTACAGCATAGGGCCGTAGACGTGGCTTATATACTGTAGTGAGGTGACGTGAAGCAGATGGAGGCGGGGTCATAGTGGTACCATCCACTAGTCGAAGTAGGTCTTCGTCCAAAGGTTGAACAAGTGTTGAAGAATTCTTTGTAACAAGATCCCATGATGCTAAGTGTCTCAATCTTCAACTTGTCGGTTTTTCAAACCATTCATCACAACTGTCAGACACTGCAGCATCATGGGATCTTGTTACAAAGAATTCTTCAACACTTGTTCAACCTTTGGACGAAGACCTACTTCGACTAGTGGATGGTACCACTATGACCCCGCCTCCATCTGCTTCACGTCACCTCACTACAGTATATAAGCCACGTCTACGGCCCTATGCTGTACATTCTACAAGATTGATGGACTGAACACATCGACTCCAGGTTGAGGGACTGATTACCTCATTCTCCTCCTCTCCTTACGCCTTCCTCTTTGTATTGGACTGATGAAGCCACTGTGTGGCGAAACGTTTCCTGAATAAAGATTCCCATATGCTGCATAAGTGTCTCAATCTTCAACATGTGCAATATGTTGCACATGTGTCTTAACTTTCATATTGTCGGTATTTTATACCTTTCTTGCACAAACAATTTAAACCTGGACTCAGTGTTAATGTTTCTGCAGCTAACTGATTTACTCTGAAATAATTATAGTTTACCCTCGTTTGATGAGTTCAGTTTTCTGTTAAAACAGATAATGTTTTGGTTTATGTTAATAACCGCCTGATTTATGCACAACTTGAAATTAACATCTCTCTAATTTACCTCGAGAGTTTACCTGGAGAGAGTTCCGGGGGTCAACGCCCCCGCGGCCCGGTCTGAGACCAGGCCTCCTGTGAGACCAGGCCGTGTTAACCTAAATGGTTTGTTAATGTCATTGTATTTTCTATTGCATCGTATATTTACACATTAATAAGTAACATTCCTGAAAATTTCTAATGTTTATTTAACATTTATGTTAGAACACCAATAATATTTGAAATGTTTCTTATATATGTTTATCAGCCATTATAATAATAATAATAATAATAATAATAATAATAATAATAATAATAATAATAATAATAATAATAATAATATTAATAATATTTTTGTTGTTACTGTTTGTCGTTGTTAAATTTATGAGCCATCTCCAGGATCCCAAATCCTCGGTGTAAATCCCACTCCCAGAACCTTGTTCCCGCGTCCCAACAATGTTTCCACGCCTCCAGTATTATTCCCATGCCCACAGCCTTGGATACACGCCCACAATAACGTTCCCACTCCCTCAGAATTATTCCAGCGCACACAATCACTTTATTTACAAATCCACACGAACTTCCCACACCTCTCAGTCCAGATCCCACGCCCATAACCTTGTTCTCACGCCCATAACCTTGTTCTCACGCCCATAACCTTGTTCCCGCACCTGCAACCTTGTTCCCACTCCCACAATCTTGTTCCAATGTTCACAACCTTGTTCCCACGCCTACAACCCTAATCCTACTCCCACAACCTTGTTCCCACACCTACAATCTTATTCCTATTCCCACAACCTTGTTCCTACGCCCACAACCTTCTTCCTACGCCCACAACCTTGTTCCCACGCCCACAGTCTTGTTTCTACTCCTACAATCTTGTTCAAATTTCCACAATCTTATTCCCAATCTCACAATCTTGTTCAAACTCATACAATCTTGTTCCCATTCCCACAGTCTTGTCCCCACTGCCATAATATTGTTCCCATTACCACATTCTTTTTCCCAGTCTTACAATATTGTTACCACTCCCACAATATTATTCCCACTCCCACAGTCTTTCTCCCACTGCCACAATATTGTTCCCACTCCCACAGTTTTGCTTCCCCTCTCCCACTCTCCATGTCTTCAGTATTGTTCACACACCCACAATCGCGTTCCCACGCTCACAATCTTCCTATGTTCGCTATCTTCCCTTATTCAGAATGTTCCCATGCTCACAATCGCGTTCCCACGCTCACAATCGCGTTCCCACGCTCACGGTCTGGTTCCCACGCTCTCAATCTCGTTCCCACACTCAGAATCTCGTCTAAGTAAGTGACCTCTCCCGAGACTGTGTAGATGCTGTCTAGCCTAGTAAACTGTACTGAATAAATGTCACAACCAGGGAACCACTAGTACCTACAATCAGGGTACCACTAGTACCTACAACCAGGGTACCACTAGTACCTACAACCACGGTATCACTAGTACCTACAACCTGGGTACCACTACAGCCTACCAGTAGATTACCACTGAACACATACTAGCAGGCTGCTACCACTACACTAACAGACTACCACTCAACGCATACTAGCAGGCTGCTACTACTCAAAACGTACTAACAGGCTACTAACACTCACACCTGGTAGTTCGGATCTGTCAAACTTTAACATTATATTAAGTAGTTTATTTTGGTTTAACTCTGGTGAGATTCTTTTGGTGGTAGTAGTAGTAGTGGTAACGGTAGTTTTAGTAACAGTAGTAGCAGTAGCAGCAGCAGTAGTAGTAGCAGCAGCAGCAGCTGTAGTTGTAGTATCTGCAGCAGTAGTAGTAGTAGTAGTAGTAGTAGTAGTAGTAGTAGTAGTAGTGGTAGTAGTAGTAGTAACAGTAGCAGTAGTAGTAGCAGTAATAGTAGTAGTAGTAACAGTATCAGTAAAAGTAGTGGTAATAGTAGTAGAAGTAGCCGTAGTAGTAGTAGTAGTAGTATTAACAGCAGCAGTATTAGTAAGAGTAGAAGTAGTTTTATTATTACTAGTAGTAGTAGTAGTTGCAGTAGTAGTAGAAGTAGTAGTAGCAGTAGTGGTAGCAGTAGTAGTAGTAACAGTAGCAGTAGATGTAGTAGTAGCAGTAGCAGTAACAATAGCAGTATAAGTAGTAGTAGTAGCAGTAGTAGTAGTAGTAGTAGTAGTAGTAGCAGCAGCAGCAGTAGCAGTAACATTAGCAGTAGTAGTAGCAGTAGTAGTAGTAGTAGTAGTAGTAGTAGTAGCAGCAGCAGCAGCAGTAGCAGTAACATTAGCAGTAGTAGTAGTAGCAGTAGTAGTAGTAGTAGTAGTAGTAGTGGTAGCAGCAGCAGCAGCAGTAGCAGTAACATTAGCAGTAGTAGTAGTAGTAGATGTAGTAGAAGCAGCAGCAGTAACAATAGCAGTATAAGTAGTAGCAGTAGTAGTAGTAGTAGTAGTAGTAGTAGTAGTAGTAGTAGCAGCAGCAGCAGCAGTAGCAGTAGCAGTAACATTAGCAGTAGTAGTAGTAACAGTAGTTGTAGTAATAGTAGTAGTAGTTTGTTGTGGTGTTGGAGGTCAGGAAGCGTCGTGGTGAACCTCACCTCAGATGACTGACTGTAAACTTGACTTAGTAACTTGTGGCTTAATATGTTATTACTCCGCTTTTGCTGAGTTTTGAATTTTCTGCCGCCAGATTTATTGCCATGTCGTGCTTATATTCCGGTTGATGTAATTTTGATCGTAATGTTTTTGATATGATGTTAAATGTTACTTTTAAAATGAAAGTGATTTGTTTTATGTTATTTTTTAAAGTTTGAAACTGATGTATTCGTTGTTTGCAGGTTGGGAGCAAGAAGGCACTATGTGACCATCAACAATGACCACTGGACATTATTTCCATCTCCCGCTGACACGGTCATCAAGAGGATGAGATAACAACAATGTCTTCTGCTTAGGCCTTTTGCTGTCTGTCTCCACTGAGGTTTTCTTTTACAAGGCAGTTCCTGGCCAGTCAAAATAATTTGGCACCTGAGCATTACCATTATCTTAATAATTTCTTGATCAACTGATACTGATTCTCGTAAAGTCAAAAAAGGAACCCTGAAGTCATCGCCTCGTGATTGGGCGATTATGCCCGTTGTATCCTCACCAGTTAGCAGCCTTGAGGTTATCACCTCTTGATGATTTACCAGCCAATCAAGAGCAGAACTCACAGTATTTTGGTAGGTGAGCAGCCAGAGTAGCCGTGACCAGAGCAGACCATGGGGAACCACAGCAGCAGCAGCAAGGTGGGCGTCTCGCAGCCCTCACTCACCTGGACACAAAGTTTTCCCAGGGAAAACAAACGACTTAAGAAATATGGCGCCACTTCTGACACTAAGGTGAGCAGCAACTTAAAAATATTTCTTATTCTTTTAAGAACTTTACCATTTTCAAAATATATAGAGTTTTAATAAAGGCTACATCTTCTAGGACAGAAGGAGAGAGTTACTTGCATTACAACTAATTAAGAAGCTTATAATGTATATACTAAAGATATACCTTACGGTAGTTGTGTTTTTTTCTTTGTGATAAGTGTATATACTGAGTGGTAGCAAGCATGTTTGGTTATTAGCAGACGAAGGATCGAGCCTTCATTGTCCCTTACACTGTAAAACCAACACTCTAAACGAGATATAACATATATCTTGGCTCAGGAAATCGCAATAACACGAGTACAAAAAAAAAAATGTCACAGGTGAGGTTCGATCCCATGGCAAGTAAATCCTAAAATTCAAGCTAGCAGTGCTAAAAAGCACTGCAAGTGAGGAGGCAGTGGTGGTATAACTACTGGAGATGTGGAGGTAGTGGTACTACAACACCGGAAACGTGACGACACGAGCAGAGTTCTGCTGCTGTACACAAGCAGAGTTCTTCTGCTGTACACAAGCAGAGTTCTTCTGATGTACACAAGCAGAGTTCTGCTGTACACAAGCAGAGTTCTTCTGCTGTACACAAGCAGAGTTCTTCTGATGTACACAAGCAGAGTTCTGCTGTACACAAGCAGAGTTCTTCTGCTGTACACAAGCAGAGTTTTGCTGCTGTACACAAGCAGAGTTCTGCTGCTGTACACAAGCAGAATTCTTCTGCTGTACACAAGCAGAGTTCTGCTGCTGTACACAAGCAGAGTTCTGCTACTGTACACAAGCAGAGTTCTGCTGCTGTACACAAGCAGAGTTCTGCTGCTGTACACAAGCAGAGTCCTGCTGCTGTACACAAGCAGAGTTCTGCTGCTGTACACAAGCAGAGTTCTGCTGCTGTACACAAGCAGAGTTCTGCTGCTGTGCACAAGCAGAGTTCTGCTGCTGTACACAAGTAGAGTTCTGCTGCTGTACACAAGCAGAGTTCTGCTGCTGTGCACAAGCAGAGTTCTGCTGCTGTACACAAGCAGAGTTCTGCTGCTGTACACAAGCAGAGTTCTGCTGCTGTACACAAGCAGAGTTCTGCTGCTGTACACAAGCAGAGTTCTGCTGCTGTGCACAAGCAGAGTTCTGCTGCTGTACACAAGTAGAGTTCTGCTGCTGTACACAAGCAGAGTTCTGCTGCTGTGCACAAGCAGAGTTCTGCTGCTGTACACAAGCAGAGTTCTGCTGCTGTACACAAGCAGAGTTCTTCTGCTGTACACAAGCAGAGTTCTGCTGCTGTACACAAGCAGAGTTCTGCTGCTATACCTATAGATAAATTTGAAACCTAGAAAAGTTATACATGATCAGAACATAAATGATTCTACTGAAACATGGCTCAGAAGCTCCTCTGATGCCGCTTAGAAAATCAATAAACTGGTTAGTTGGAGAAAACCCAGCTGCACCGTAGCCTCAATATATAAATAAATGAACAATCGCTACGCGATCCGAGGATGGTATCCCAGTATTCCTTAACCCCAGTCCCCTGTGTCTCAGTGGATGCGACTGGAATAGTGCAGAGTGCGGTATATGTTGGTAATGTAATTAAATATTATCGTTAAAGATTTGAAAGGAGTCGAAAGAGGTATTTACAGTCATCATACGAACACAAATATTTAAATTTCTGTAATAAAAATAGGATATATACACTCACCAAATCTAATTCAAATCTTTCAGAGGGGTCAAAGAGAGCAATATCCTAAAGTACACAAGCACATTAAGCTTGAAGCCACTCAGATGTTACTTTATCAAGTGATGATCATAGGAGGATGAAGAGGGTCACTTGCCATACCCAGAAATAATCGCATGAAAAATACTTAAAATTTTCCAATTTCTTAAAAAAAAAAAAATAGCAAATTAGGCCTAAACAGGCCAAAATCAATCCTAACTTCTCTTTAAGTAAGACTGGCCAGCTTTTAATAAAGTAAATAAGTACTATAAGTAAGTAATAAGTTAGTAAATAAGTCTGAGGGTACTTAGATGTTATAGTTACATAAAAAATATTAATCTGATGTAACCCAGGATAACCAAGTCAAAAACTGTGACTTAATTTCAGATCAGAAAAAAAACATTCTCCATTTATCTGACAGAAACCAATTTGATCAATAAAACTGTCACATGATAACTTACACATCAAGAAATTGTCTACCTTTGAGGAAAACACATCAACACAAAGTTTCAAGCTGACCTGAAGATTCATTTCCCAGTTATTGCACAGAATCTAACAAAATTTGTGCCCAGACAGCCTGTACCCGGACACTGAAGTTTGATGCTGTTCATAATGCTTACATTTTAATCAGAGGAAAGCGCTAAACCCGTAGGGGGTCATATAACGTCCGTGGAATGGGAGGCATTCGATCCAAGCGATGTGGAGATAAGTTCAGATCCTTGGATCAAGAGCAGTATAATGCAACACTGTAAAATAATAATATATAATTTTGAGAGCACAGGTGTGGGAGGACACAGGTGTGGGCAGACACAGGTGTGGGTGGACGCAGGTGTGGGTGGGTACAGGTGTGGGAGGACACAGTGTGGGCGGACACAGATGTGGGCGGGCACAGTTGTGGGCGGGCACAGGTGTGGGCGGGCACAGGTGTGGGTGGGTACAGATGTGGGCGAACACAGGTGTGGGCGGGCACAGGTGTGAGCGGGCACAGGTGTGGGTGGGTTGAGGTGTGGGCAGGCACAGGTGTAGGCAGGCACAGGTGTGAGAAGGCACAGGTGTGGACAGGCACAGGTGTGAGCAGGCACAGATGTGGGCGGGCACAGGTGTGGGCGGGCACAGGTGTGGGCGGGCACAGGTGTGGGCGGGCACAGGTGTGGGCGGGCACATGTGTGGACGGACACAGGTGTTGGCGGGTACAGGTGTGGGCGGGCACAGGTGTGGGTGGGCACAGGTGTGGGCGGGCACAGGTGTGGGCGGACACAGGTGTGGGCGGACACATGTGTGGGCGGACACATGTGTGGGCGGACACAGGTGTAGGCGGGCACAGGTGTGGGCGGGCACAGGTGTGGGCAGGCACAGGTGTGGGCAGGCGCAGGTGTGGGCAGGCACAGGTGTGGGCGGGCACAGGTGTGGGCGGGCACAGGTGTGGGCAGGCACAGGTGTGGGTGGACGCAGGTGTGGGTGGGTACAGGTGTGGGAGGACACAGTGTGGGCGGACACAGATGTGGGCGGGCACAGTTGTGGGCGGGCACAGGTGTGGGCGGGCACAGGTGTGGGTGGGTACAGATGTGGGCGAACACAGGTGTGGGCGGGCACAGGTGTGAGCGGGCACAGGTGTGGGTGGGTTGAGGTGTGGGCAGGCACAGGTGTAGGCAGGCACAGGTGTGAGAAGGCACAGGTGTGGACAGGCACAGGTGTGAGCAGGCACAGATGTGGGCGGGCACAGGTGTGGGCGGGCACAGGTGTGGGCGGGCACAGGTGTGGGCGGGCACAGGTGTGGGCGGGCACATGTGTGGACGGACACAGGTGTTGGCGGGTACAGGTGTGGGCGGGCACAGGTGTGGGTGGGCACAGGTGTGGGCGGGCACAGGTGTGGGCGGACAATGGTGTGGGCGGACACATGTGTGGGCGGACACATGTGTGGGCGGACACAGGTGTAGGCGGGCACAGGTGTGGGCGGGCACAGGTGTGGGCAGGCACAGGTGTGGGCAGGCGCAGGTGTGGGCAGGCACAGGTGTGGGCGGGCACAGGTGTGGGCGGGCACAGGTGTGGGCGGACACAGGTGTGGGCAGGCGCAGGTGTTAGCAGGCACAGGTGTGGGCAGGCGCAAGTGTGGGCAGGCACAGGTGTGGGCAGGCACAGGTGTGGGCAGGCACAGGTGTGAGCAGGCACAGGTGTGAGCAGGCACAGGTGTGGGCAGGCACAGGTGTGAGCAGGCACAGGTGTGAGCAGGCACAGGTGTGGGCGGGCACAGGTGTGGGCGGGCACAGGTGTGGGCGGGCACAGGTACGGGCGGGCACAGGTGTATGCGGGCTCAGGTGTGGGCAGGCACAGGTGTGGGCAGGCACAGGTGTGGGCAGGCGCAGGTGTTAGCAGGCACAGGTGTGGGCAGGCGCAAGTGTGGGCAGGCACAGGTGTGGGCAGGCACAGGTGTGGGCAGGCACAGGTGTGGGCAGGCACAGGTGTGGGCAGGCACAGGTGTGGGCAGGCACAGGTGTGAGCAGGCACAGGTGTGAGCAGGCACAGGTGTGGGCAGGCACAGGTGTGAGCAGGCACAGGTGTGGGCAGGCACAGGTGTGGGCAGGCACAGGTGTGAGCAGGCACAGGTGTGAGAAGGCACAGGTGTGGGCAGGCACAGGTGTGAGCAGGCACAGGTGTGAGCAGGCACAGGTGTGGGCGGGCACAGGTGTGGGCGGGCACAGGTGTGGGCGGGCACAGGTACGGGCGGGCACAGGTGTATGCGGGCTCAGGTGTGGGCAGGCACAGGTGTGGGCGTGCACAGGTGTGGGCGGGCACAGGTGTGGGCGGGCACAGGTGTGGGCAGGCACAGGTGTGGGCGGGCACAGGTGTGGGCAGGCACAGGTGTGGGCGGGCACAGGTGTGGGCGGGCACAGGTGTGGGCGGGCACAGGTGTGGGCGGGCACAGGTGTGGGCGGGCACAACCCTCATTATTAATGAAACAAAATCCGGAAAATTTCTCAATAATTTTTTTATTTAAGTTTTAATTGAGATTTTTTATGTTTTTAATTATCTTAAGATTGAAGACTTGAAACAGAATAATGATGATACGATGACAAAAATGATAATTGGTGATGATGATGATGATGATATCATTGTAAGGTATCGTACTTAATATAGCACAGTAGTTATTCCCCGAGAGATGGGCACTAGTTTCTTCGGTAAACAATGCTTTTGTTCACAGGTATTGCCCCAGAGAATTCCCGGGCAGCGTCTGCGCCCTACGGAGAACGGTCACATTCTACAGACGAAAGGTACCATCTCCGCCCGACGGATGGCGGAGTTCCATCCTCCGCCCCACCCTGCCTTCCCGCCGCCCCTGGTTCTGCAGCAGCAGCAACAGCAACAGCAGCAGCACTCTGCCTCCATGACCACTCTACATTACCCACATCCGCACGACGAGCGCACAGCTGCCATACACGACCTCCGGTTTGGTCGTCCACCCTCTAAGAATTATGCCAGTGAGCCAGACTTGAGAGGGTCGTCCCCTCCCACCAGCGTTCCTTCGCCGCTTTCCCATACTATAATTAGTCAGTCGCCGACTAAGGGCAGAATAAAGTCAAAGAAAAAATATAAAGCTCCTCCGGTCCCTATCGGAGGGATAGGCGACTCCCATTCTCTTCCCCGTGGTGCAGAAAGGTCACATTCATTGGGAAATGTGACTGTTCAGTCGAGCCAGGGTCAGTGGCCAGCCCCTTGTGCAGTTCATTTCGCTGATCACATTGCAAGCAGTCCTGAGCCGCTGAAACCCAAAGCTCGTAAAATGGGTCTCTTCCGGAAAAAGAACGAGTCTCGGCGATCTGCTATTGTGGATGACCATCGCAGTTCAGGAGAAGAACAGGAAAGAGTCCGAGCAGCTAGCGAGGACAGGCGTGCAGCCTCTCCAGCACGCTCCTCTCCACGAGAGGAGCTTCGCGAGAGAGCTCGGAGTTTAGACTCCCTTCAGCATGAGCTTCGTCGCTCCCCCGTATCTTCCACAGTGCCAGTTGCAACAACGAGCCTAACTCAACTTCACCAATCTCATGAACCTCGCTTGTGGACAACCATCGAAAGAGATTCCAGACGAGTAGTTTCCCAAGAGAGTGATTCAAGGCGAAGCAGCACCATCGAACGAGAATCTAGAAGGTCCAGTAGAGATTCCAAAAGGAGCAGCACATTGGAGAGAGATCCACAGAAAAGTTTCCGCAGGGTGAGCACCCTGGAGCGAAAAGTCGTGGAACGCAAGAATGGTGGAGGGGAGGGACGCGATAACTCCACTCCTTCGTCTTCCAGACGTGCCTCCCGCCTCGACTCCTATCGAGACAGCTCAACCCACCGTCGCTCGTCGTCTAGCGGGTCTCATCATGAATTAATTCCTGAAGAAAGTGAGACACGCAATGTTGCCGACGAGTGGAATGAGAATGAAGCAGAAATGATCAGTCAGAAAAAGAAAGGAAGTGCAAAGGAAACTGGTGATGACTGGGACAAAGTTGGACAAATCAACCAACGGAAGAAAATATCGGCAAGTCTTCAAGCCGAACTCTTGCAAACTGTGAACAATTTAAAGAAAACTTCTCCCGAACAAGAACCTAATCCATCCACACTAACAAGAAAAGGCAGAGAAAGTGAAAAACGCTCGTCTAAACCCACTCTGCTACCTTCCAAAAGCAATGATATTATTGAACACAATGAACAACCCAAAACTTTTTTTTTCGGAATGGAGCCAGAGGTGTTACGTGGCTCCCGAGGTGAGGCTAATTCAGGCCTTCATAAAATCAAGAACCAAGAAGAAGCAGTCAAGAATAAAAATCGGGAAGAAGTCCACATTACTGGCCAGGCTGTAGAATATACACGCCGCACGCTAGAACGTATTCAGAGGAGCCGCAGCCGCAGTGCTCGCAAGGAAGCTCAGAGAGGAAGCGATTCTCAACGCAAAGCCGTTGATGAGGCTGATAGTCGTAATTCTTCAAGTCAAATTGATCAGCGTAAGCTGTCTAGGGATGTAGAAGAATTTGCAGTAGCCATAGAACGTCACAAGATGCGACGGGCAGATGGCGAGAGATCAGCAAGTGGATCATCACGCCGTGAAGATGGAGGTTACCATTCCAGACAGAATTCCGGGAGTCTTTACTTGGATAATGAGCACGACGTTAGAGGAGAAGGTGAACTGTTTATGAACTTGAGACCGATACTCCCACGTCGCCAGCTTGAAATACCAAGATTTAGCCCAAATGCTGCCTGGCGGTCCCTGAGTCTTGAGCGTGCCAGTAGACACCAAGAAAAGCCTGACGAGAAACGAAGTAATGAAGAGCCAGATTCAGTGCATGAGGCAAGAATACAACGGTTCACTCGACCTACAGCTCCCCCTCGAGGCTCTGGTGAAAAATCTGCTGATTCTGGCATCTCTGGTGATGCTGGCAGCCCTGGGCCCACACATGAGTTTGAGCCTCTGATATCTACAGATAAAACAAAAAGCTCATCTGGTCCACTAGCAGCATCCTCTCCTGTAGCTTCAGGTCTGCCTGAGGTGAGGCGTACCTGGACACCCGCTCAAGACCTAGATGACAATAGTCTCGACAGCCACGGAGAGCACACTGATCTCCCAGAAGGACTTTCCACACCGCCAAAACTTACATCACGTTCAAACATGTTTCCGAAAACACTAGACCGGACACCTGAGGTAGAAACGGAAGCTGAATCACCAATTGAAATAGAAACTGTGTCGGAGCTCGTGTCTCCTGATAAGAAAGATCTCTGGCAAAAGCGTAAGAAGCGAAATGGTGTTGATATAATTCCTCAAAAATTCAACAGCTTACGTAAGCTGAAACGCACCGTAACAGGTGCCATCACAGGCCTGGGTCTCAAGAATCCTGTAGTGGAGGATTACCTTGAAAGCAGAACTCCAGATGAGCCCCAGATTCAGCAACATGGAGACGACCCCAACTGGCGAGACAACTGGTCCATGTCTCGTTCCATTCCAAACTCGCTTAACACATGCGAGGAACATGACACAGTCAGCAACTTATCCAGTACCAGGAATCCCAGGAGCAGATCAGAGTCTCGTCTGGTTAATGGAGGGGGCGAGAACTCTAACGAGGAAACACGGTCTCGAACTCCGTCTTACCTACAATACGGCAACCCGGGTCACATTATGTACCTCCCTGAGTATAACTCCCGACGGATGAGTCGCGGGGAGATGGGAAGTGAAGACGAAGCTGATCTTCGCCACAACACCTCACAGCATCACAGCCTCATGCGTTCCGTCAGACCAACAACGCCTGATCATGAACGCAAACCTCCGTCAGGTTGGTCCTTGGCATGAAGCATGAGTGTGGTTCCTATATACAAAGGAAATTGGGGCACGAGCTTATGAATATTATATGTTGGATAAAGTAAATAAAAATGACGGAAAATATAACAGCAAAAAAAACTAGAATGAAATTAGATATATAAGCATAGGGAAAAGATTGTTAAAATGGTGATGATATATATATATATATATATATATATATATATATATATATATATATATATATATATATATAATATATATATATATATATATATAATATATATATATATATATATATATATATATACTTTCCACTTCCACCCCTCCTTCAGAGTGCAGGCACTGTAATTCCCACTTCCACCCCTTCTTCAGAGTGCAGGCACTGTACTTCCCACTTCCACCCCTTATTCAGAGTGCAGGCACTGTACTTCCCACCTCCACCCCTCCTTCAGAGTGCAGGCACTGTACTTCCCACTTGCACCCCTCCTTCAGAGTGCAGGCACTGTACTTCCCACTTCCACCCCTCCTTCAGAGTGCAGGCACTGTACTTCCCATCTCCACCCCTTCTTCAGAGTGCAGACACTGTACTTCCCACCTACAGGACTCAAGTCGGGCCTGCCGGTTTTCCTGAATCAGTTCATAAATGTTACCTTGCTCACACTCCAACAGCACATCAAGTCCTAGAAACTACTTGTCTCCACTCTAATGTACTCACGCATGCTCGCTAGAAGTCCAAGCCCCTCGCACACAAAATCTTAACCCTCCCTCCAACCTTTCCTAGAACGATCCCTACCCAGCCTTCCTTCTATTATAGATTTATATGCTCTCCAAGTCATTCTATTTTTTCCACCCTCTCTAAATTCCCGAACACCTCAATAACTTCTCCTTACCCTCTGGAAAATACTTGTAATAACCCCGCACCACTTCTTAATTTCCATTTCTCTGCATTACATTCACAATGCACATTACCCTGAGCCACATCTCCACTGCTTCCAACCTTCTCCTTGTTGCAACATTTATCACCCATACTTTACACCCATATAAGATCGTTGGTAAAACTATACTCTCATACATTCCCTTCTTTGCTTCTATGGATAACAGACTCCACAGACTCCTTAGTGCACCATTCACCATTTTTCCCATCGTCATTTCTATGATTCACCTCGTCTTTCATAGACCTGTCTGCTGGCAAATCCACTCCTAAATATCTGAATACATTCACTTTCTCCATATTCCGTCCGTCTAATCTGATATCCAATCTTTCATTACCTATTTTTTTTTATCCTTATCACCTTATTCTTTCCTATGTTCACTTTTAATTTTTCCACTTTTACTGACCCTCCCAAACTCGTCCATCAAACCTCTGCAACTTCTCTTCAGAATCTCCCAAAAGCACAGTGTCATCAGCAAAAACATCCGCGACAACTCCCATTTTGTGTTGGATTCTTTATCTTTTAATTCTGCACCTCTTGCCAACACCCTGAGGTCTACTTTTACTGGGAAACAATCTCCCCTCTCTCCTACATATTCTAACCTGAGCCTAACCATTGGAGCATTTGGCTCGCAATCGAAGGGACCAAGTTCGATTCCCAGGCGGTAGGAGAAACACATTTTTATTTTACGTTTGCTGCCCCTGTTCACCGAGAAAGTTGGTACCCAGGTGTTAATCTACTTTTTCGGGTCCAATCAGGAGTGGTGGTGGTAGTATACCTTATATAGAGCTGGGTTTTAAAATGATCTGAACTTGGATAAAATTACATTATACTGTGCATAAAAGAAACTTATTTGGGAATCTTTCTGCATTGTACCTGAAGGAGACATGCTGTTCTAGTGTTTAGCTTGGCTGTAGCACTGTCTAATATTGTTTGTGTTACAGATTACCATGATACCAGTGTATAATGGTCTGTAAAACTGATTCAGGTGACGAGGATCCACCACTCCCAGAGACCTACCACGGACCAACATCCTTGCCACCTTCCACACACAGCACCCACGCCGCTCTGGCTGCCGCCAGAAAGGCCAGAGGCAAGAAGTTTTCCTACCAAAGCACTGTCAGAGTCCTGGAGAAGAGGAAGCTGGAGGAGAAGTTGGCTAGGGAGGTCGCTGAGAAGGAGACACAGAGGCTGAAGGAAACAGAAGCCATGAAAAAGGTTAGAATTGATCTAGTGTGCTCACTGTTCAACGTCCCTACGACCAGTTCATCAATGTTTTGTACAAACTTCACATATCAGCTTGTTCAAATCACATTTATATCACAGTTTCTTGCGTGTGTTAAAAATATTCTTTTTTTTTTCATTTCCATTAAGGAATAATTATTATGGACCATTTCAAACTTCAAGAATCAAAGTTACAGTGTAGCAGCATGCTGTACACACGAGTGACAGTGTAGCAGCATGCTGTACACACGAGTGACAGTGTAGCACCATGCTGTATACACGAGTGAGTGTAGCAGCAATCTGTACACACGAGTGACAGTGTAGCAGCATGCTGTATTCACGAGTGACAGTGTAGCAGCATGCTGTACACACGAGTGACAGTGTAGCAGCATGCTGTACACACGAGTGACAGTGTAGCACCATGCTGTATACACGAGTGAGTGTAGCAGCAATCTGTACACACGAGTGACAGTGTAGCAGCATGCTGTATTCACGAGTGACAGTGTAGCAGCATGCTGTACACACGAGTGACAGTGTAGCAGCATGCTGTACACACGAGTGACAGTGTAGCACCATGCTGTATACACGAGTGAGTGTAGCAGCAATCTGTACACACGAGTGACAGTGTAGCAGCATGCTGTATTCACGAGTGACAGTGTAGCAGCATGCTGTACACACGAGTGACAGTGTAGCAGCATGCTGTATTCACGAGTGACAGTGTAGCAACATGCTGTACACACGAGTGACAGTGTAGCACCATGCTGTATACACGAGTGACAGTGTAGCACCATGCTGTATACACGAGTGACAGTGTAGCAGCAATCTGTACACACGAGTGACAGTGTAGCAGCATGCTGTATTCACGAGTGACAGTGTAGCAGCATGCTGTATACACGAGTGACAGTGTAGCAGCATGCTGTATACACGAGTGACAGTGTAGCACCATGCTGTATACACGAGTGACAGTGTAGCAGCAATCTGTACACACGAGTGACAGTGTAGCAGCATGCTGTATTCACGAGTGACAGTGTAGCAGCATGCTGTATACACGAGTGACAGTGTAGCAGCATGCTGTATACACGAGTGACAGTGTAGCACCATGCTGTATACACGAGTGACAGTGTAGCAGCAATCTGTACACACGAGTGACAGTGTAGCAGCATGCTGTATTCACGAGTGACAGTGTAGCAGCATGCTGTACACACGAGTGACAGTGTAGCAGCATGCTGTATACACGAGTGTTCATACTGTACACACCTGTTCATGCTGTACACACAGATATTCATGCTGTGCACACAAGTGTTCATGTAGGGTAAACTACAACATAGCCATTTATAAATAATATTACATAACAACATAACATTGCAAGAACACTAATGATCTGTTGTGTGAGATCAGTTACTCTTGTTGAGCAGCTGATGAACGAATAGTGCACTGAGAGCCCTCTGGCACTCATGTGCGAAACATCTGCGCTTCCTCTCACTGGCACTGTGTATGACGCTGGCACTGTGCATGACACCAGCACTGTGTATGACACCAGCACTGTGTATGATGCCAGCACTGTGTATGACACCAACACTGTGTATGACACCAGCAGTGTATGACACCAACACTGTGTATGACACCAACACTGTGCATGACACCAACACTGTGTATGACACCAGCACTGTGTATGACACCAACACTGTGCATGACACTAGCACTGTGTATGACACCAGCACTGTGTATGACACCAACACTGTGTATGACACCAACACTGTGCATGACACCAGCACTGTGTATGACACCAGCACTGTGTATGACACCAACACTGTGTATGACACCAACACTGTGTATGACACCAGCACTGTGTATGACACCAACAATGTGTATGACACCAGCACTGTGTATGACACCAGCACTGTGTATTGCACCAGCACTGTGTATGACACCAACACTGTGTATGACACCAGCACTGTGTATGACACCAGCACTGTGTATTACACTAACACTGTGTATGACACCAACACTGTGTATGACACCAGCACTGTGTATGACACCAGCACTGTGTATGACACCAGCACAGTGCATGACAACAACACTGTGTATAACACCAGCACTGTATATGACACCAACACTGTGTATGACACCAACACTGTGTATGACACCAGCACTGTGTATGACACCAACAATGTGTATGACACCAGCACTGTGTATGACACCAGCACTGTGTATTGCACCAGCACTGTGTATGACACCAACACTGTGTATGACACCAGCACTGTGTATGACACCAGCACTGTGTATTACACTAACACTGTGTATGACACCAACACTGTGTATGACACCAGCACTGTGTATGACACCAGCACTGTGTATGACACCAGCACAGTGCATGACAACACCACTGTGTATAACACCAGCACTGTATATGACACCAACACTGTGTATGACACCAGCACCGTGTATGACACCAGCACTGTGCATGACACCAACACTGTGTATGACACCAGCACTGTGTATGACACCAGCACTGTGTATGACACTAGCACTGTGTATGACACCAACACTGTGTATGACACCAACACTGTGTATGACACCAGCGCTGTGTATGACACAAGCACTGTGTATGACTCCAGCACTGTGTATGACACCAGGACTGTGTATGACACTAGTACTGTGTATGACTCCGGTACTGTGTATGACACCAGCACTGTGTATGACACCAGCACTGTGTATGGCACCAGCACTGTGTATGACTCCAGCACTGTGTATGACTCCAGTACTCTGTATGACACCAGCACTGTGTATGACGCCAGCACTGTGTATGACACCATCACTGTGTATGACACCAGCACTGTGTATGACTCCAGTACTGTGTATGACACCAGCACTGTGTATGACACCAGCACTGTGTATGACGCCAGCACTGTGTATGACACCATCACTGTGTATGACACCAGCACTGTGTATGACTCCAGTACTGTGTATGACACCAGCACTGTGTATGACTCCAGCACTGTGTATGACTCCAGCACTGTGTATGACACCAGCACTGTGTATGACTCCAGCACTGTGTATGACTCCAGCACTGTGTATGACACCAACACTGTGTATGACTCCAGCACTGTGTATGACTCCAGCACTGTGTATGACACCAACACTATGTATGACTCCAGCACTGTGTATGACTCCAGCACTGTGTATGATGCCAGCACTGTGTATGACACCAACACTGTGTATGACTCCAGCACTGTGTATGACACCAGCACTGTGTATGACTCCAGCACTGTGTATGACTCCAGCACTGTGTATGACTCCAGCACTGTGTATGACACTAGTACTGTGTATGACACCAGCACTGTGTATGACACCAGCACTGTGTATGACTCCAGCACTGTGCATGACTCCAGCACTGTGTATGACACCAGCACTGTGTATGACACCAGCACTGTGTATGACTCCAGCACTGTGTATGACTCCAGCACAGTGTATGACACCAGCACTGTGTATGACTCCAACACTGTGTATGACTCCACCACTGTGTATGACTCCAGCACTGTGCATGACACCAGCACTGTGTATGACTCCAGCACTGTATATGACTCCAGCACTGTGTATGACTCCAGCACTGTGTATGACTCCAGCACTGTGTATGACTCCAGCACTGTGTATGACACCAGCACTGTGTATGACTCCAGCACTGTGTATGACTCCAGCACTGTGTATGACTCCAGCACAGTGTATGACACCAGCTCTGTGTATGACTCCAGCACTGTGTATGACACCAGCACTGTGTATGACTCCAGCACTGTGTATGACTCCAGCACTGTGTATGACTCCAGCACTGTGTATGACACCAGCACTGTGTATGACTCCAGCACTGTGTATGACTCAGCACTGTGTATGACTCCAGCACTGTGTATGACACCAGCACTGTGTATGACTCCAGCACTGTGTATGACACCAGCACTGTGTATGACACCAGCACTGTGTATGACACCAGCACTGTGTATGACTCCAGCACTGTGTATGACACCAGCACTGTGTGACACCAGCACTGTGTATGACTCCAGCACTGTGTGTGACACCAGCACTGTGTATGACACCAGCACTGTGTATGACACCAGCACTGTGTATGACTCCAGCACTGTGTATGACACCAGCACTGTGTATGACTCCAGCACTGTGTATGACTCCAGCACTGTGTATGACACCAGCACTGTGCATGACTCCAGCACTGTGTATGACACCAGCACTGTGTATGACTCCAGCACTGTTTATGACACCAGCACTGTGTATGACACCAACACTGTGTATGACTCCAGCACTGTGTATGACACCAGCACTGTGTATGACTCCAGCACTGTGTATGACACCAGCACTGTGTATGACACCAGCACTGTGTGTGACACCAGCACTGTGTATGACTCCAGCACTGTGTATGACACCAGCACTGTGTATGACTCCAGCACTGTGTATGACACCAGCACTGTGTATGACACCAGCACTGTGTATGACTCAGCACTGTGTATGACTCCAGCACTGTGTATGACACCAGCACTGTGTATGGCTCCAGCACTGTGTATGACACCAGCACTGTGTATGACACCAGCACTGTGTATGACACCAGCACTGTGTATGACACCAGCACTGTGTATGACGCCAGCACTGTTTATGACACCAGCACTGTGTATGACACCAGCACTGTGTATGACACCAGCACTGTGTATGACACCAATACTTTTAACTGTTCTGTAACTTTCATGATGAACAGAAGTCAGAATATCGTAGCATAATCTATCCTTATTAAACTCCAAAAATAATAATTATTGTTCCTATTACACATCTCAAAAGTGCAGTAAACCCGTGTTCATAATACGACACAAACTGGAGAGAAAATTAACGAGTCTCTGTCCGTTCCAAACTTGATAATGATCTAAGACGGGTGAAGTCATCATCTAAGGGTGAAGTCATCATCTAATGTCACCTGTGACTGTTGAATTCGTTGCAAATGCAACCTGGACGTCTATGGAATGCGGTATATGAGCCGTAATGATATACTGATTTTATTATACACATTTTGGGTGAACAGTTCAGTTTTAAATGATTAAGATGAGTGTGCAACAGTTTGGTATCTTTATTGTCGAAACATGTCGCCTGGGCAGCAGGCTTCTTCAGTCGAAATACAAAGACAACAGAAGTAGTGAAGTAGATACGAAGTGATCAGTCCGTCACCCTAGATGTGTTCAGCTCATAGTTTCGATCAGTGAGGTTGAGGAATGATCACCTGAAACCTGTCTTTACCATTTCTTCTGCTGTTTTCTGTTTTCCGACTGAAAAATCTTGCTAAGTAGGCGAAATACCTCGCCAGTACGAGTTGTCTTACTCACTAACGTATCGGTATTGTATACCTTCAAAATAATTTCGGTGTTAGTTACAAGACTGTTACTGCAGGTGGAGGAAGAATTCCAGAAGAAGAGGGAGAGAGAGAAGAAGAAAGTGAAACAGCAGCTAAAGCTGTTCCAGATGCAGCAGCAGCAACAGCAGCACACCAACAGAGACACACACAACCACTCTTACTCCAGTGACGACCACGCCCCCTCGTCCTACTCCTCAGAGCAGAACGAAGTGTCTAGCCAGGCCTCGTCCCAGCCGCCTCCCGTACCTCGCTCCCCACTACCTCAGGTTCGTCCTTTCCTCCCTGTCTCGCTCCCCACCACCTCAAGTTCATCTTCTTTCTGCCTCGCACTCTCTACTTCCGGTTCTCCCTTATGCCTTGTTCCTTATGCCTTGTTCCCTACCCAAGATACATCCTAGCCTTTCTGGCCTCTATCCTCACCACCCGAAATATCTTGTTTACTTACCTGCTTCCATCCTGTCCACCCCAGATACCTTCTTACCTCCTACATAGTTTCTCACCATCCTAGATACCTCCTTGCCTCCTACGTAGTTTCCCACTACCCCAGGTGTATCATTACCTCCCTACCTCGTTTCTTACCACCCCAGATACCTCATTACCTCTTTGCCTTGTTCCCCATCGCCGCAGGTACGTCCCTAAACCACCCCTGCCTCGCTCTCCTCCACCCCAGGTACATTCTTACTTTGCTTTCTTCTACTCTTTTGTCTTTCTATTAATAATTTTATATATAAATGTCCCATCCTACATATAATTTATAACATAATTTTTGGCCAGCTGTCAAGCTCACAGAGTGGAAGCTGATTCCAATGAATCAGGAGAGCTTAGTCAGGGAAGATTCTATAAATACAGTATTCTGTAAATATTACGTGTGTTACTGATGGAGAGAAATAACATAACATACCGACACATGGAAAAGCCCATTGAGTTGGCAAAACCTTGTCCATTTCCACTGTTTAAAGCTCTTTCGTAGGCATTTAGTAACTATAAGCAATAAGTAATTAGGAAATGTGCTGTGTTTGACAAATTAATTGTTGATGGTGATATTTAATTTACAGGTGTACTCTCCCTTCACCTCTCTCCCTCCCGAGTTACCTATGGAGGCTTCTCCTGGTCTTCTCTCTGGTCTTAAGAACTGGGTTCGAGGGAGGAAGGAGAGTCGTTCCTCCACCTCTTCTACAACCCTCACGTCCGCTCCAAGGCAAGAGCCTGACGGTGCCCCAGCCTCCTCTTCGAGAAGTACCAGTGATGACTGTAGCGGCTCTGGGTCCTCATCGCGAAAAGATATTCCAGAACACAGTGAACAAAAGCAAAAGTTTCGCTCCGAAATCATCGCTGCCTCTAGAAAACGCAACGCAGACAACCCCATCATCCAAGGCAGCCCCGCTGCAACCAAACACATCTCCGGCATCCAAGGCAGCCCTAGCCCTTCTACCAAACACAACTATTCTGGCATACAAGACAGCCCATCTACAAAACACAAAAACTTAGGTGTGCAAGGCAGCCCTGCTGCCAAGCACATCAACTCTGGTGTCCAAGACAGCCCTGCTTCTAGGCATAGCAACAAACAGAGGAAGAACATATATAACCACCTCAACGAAATAGCTGAACGTGAGGCAAAACGATCACTGCACAAGAATTACCAACAGGAAACACAGTTACACCACCAGAAACACAAGAAGCATCGGAACCAGAAGGATGAACTGCGGCGCTCCCAGTCTCCTGATGTCCGCAGGCTGATGCAAGAGCTACCAGAACTGCATCAGGAGCGGCGAGAGTACAGAGAATACCGCAGTCCTTCACGCCATTCCTATTCACCAACTGTTAACATACCCAACAGTGAGTATCTCTTCACCATCTATCACATTGTCAGTGCCACTGAGTTATTTTTCTAGGCCATTTTTGACGAGTTCAATTTCACTGAAAGAGGCCATGTGATATGAAACAGTGATGCTAGGTTTACCCCTAAACTTTCTCTTTTACTGGGTCACTTAGGTCCCCCTGCCTCTATCAGCCCCAGTAAGAGTAGCAGCAACTATCGTCGAGAGTTTTGTCACGGCAACACCCAGGTGCTGGGTCCCACTGTGGTGTCGGTGACGGTCAAGCGCACAGACCAGAGTGACAGACATTCCAGGTGAGTGTGCCCATGACGGGCCATTACCGTCATCCTTGTTATGTCTGCTCATGTATAGATGTGTGAAAATAGTATACTACTCTCTAACCAGGATCAGTTTCAACTAGGATTTAGGAATGATTTAAAGATATCGACAACACTGTTTTGCTTCTGTGGGTTGGGTCATTAAGCAATTGACGAGTTATTTATGCATCGTTCCAGTCACGGTATTGTGCTTTTTTATTCTCTCTATTCGGGTTACTGTGTATAACGACTCCTCTCTAGAGCGTACACTGTCTTAGGTTGTATCTCTTGTCCTGTTTCAGTAATAGCATTCATAAGATACAGGAAAATCCATTCTTACTGAGAAGAAAATATTTTTAAGCTGATGACAATGAAATTGTGGCAGAACATTTTATTTTTAAGAATAAAAGTTAAAATTCAGTATGTGACTGTAATATCAGCAGGAAAATGTTTCCTTGCTGGAATGGGTTGTGCTTTTATGTTTAAGTTCTAAATGCAACGAACGTGACTGCAGGCACTCTAGTGACGACCGACGGTCAGTGGGAAGCAGCGGCGTCCACCGCAGCGCCTCCGTCGACATCTTGGAGACAGGTTCCTGTTCCTCCTCCTCCACCGCTCGCCACCACCACCATTCTTCCCAACATCTTGCTGACGCCTCACTCAGTCACAACTACGGCAGGGTCAGTATACAGTCAAAATGCTCTTTTTAAACGACTTTGTTCGTGTCAGTGTATCTGTTTGACTTGGTTCTTGCCAACAAAGATTCACTAATTAATAATCTTGAGGTTAATGATGAACTTGGGGAAAGTGATCACAAATCACTTAGTTTCAATATATCATGGGATTACCTAGATAACTGCAGTCAAATCTGTCCCAGATTTTCGCTTGGCCGACTTCATGGGACTGAAAAATTACCTGGGTGGGCTAAATTGGGATGACCTGACTATGGGTCAGGTAAGTGATCTTGGTTGCCAATATGTCGTTTTTCAGAGCATAGTTCTAGCTGCCCAGACAACTTTTGTTCCGAGTAGGGAAATTAGATCTAACAAAAATGATCCCAAATGGATGAACAATAGATTAAAACATCTCATTGGTCAAAAGAGAGGCACATATAGGAGTATCAAAATAGGAGATGGACAGTTAAGAAATCAATATATTCAGTTAAAGAGAGAAATAAAGAAAGGAATAAGAAAAGCAAAAAGGGATTACGAGGCTAAGGTCGCAAGGGATTCAAAGGGTTCTTTCAGGTAAACAGAATTAAGATTAGGGGCAAGACTGGCCCACTTAAGAGTAACTCTGGTCAGATCACTGACAGTGATAAGGATATGTGTGAAATTCTCAATACCTACTTCCTCTCAGTTTTCACCCAGGAAAATACTAGAGATATTCCTGAAATAATAGATTATGTAGAACAGGATGATAATAAACTATGCACGATTACGGTAACTAGTGACATGGTCCTCAGACAAATAGAGAAACTAAAACCTAACAGATCCCCAGGCCCTGATGAACTGTTTGCAAGAGGAACTTAGCATACCTTTGGCTAATCTTTTTTAACATATCACTACAAACTGGCATAGTGCCTGATAAGTGGAAAATGGCAAATGTAATACCTATTTATAAGGCAGGTGACAGGTCCTTGGCTTCGAACTATAGACCAATAAGCTTTACCTCCATAGTGGGGAAATTTATGGAATCAATAATTGCCGAAGCAATTCGTAGCCATCTTGATAGGCACAGACTGATTAATGAATCTCAACACGGTTTTACAAAGGGGCGTTCCTGTTTTACGAATTTACTAACTTTTTTCACTAAGATGTTTGAGGAGGTAGATCATGGTAATGAATATGATATTGTGTATATGGACTTCAGTAAGTCTTTCGATAGAGTTCCACATAAGAGGCTATTGAGGAAATTTAAGGCACACGGAATAGGAGGAGAATTTTTTTCCTGGGTAGAGGCATGGCTGACAAATAGGCAGCAAAGAGTTTGCATAAATGGGGAGAAATCAGAATGGGGTCACGTCACAAGCGGTGTTCCTCGGGGGTCAGTGTTGGGCCCATTGTTGTTCACAATTTACATAAACGACATAGATGAGGGAATAAATAGCGACATAAGCAAATTTGCTGATGACACCAAAATAGGCCGTCCAATTCATTCTAATGAGGACACTAGAGCACACCAGGATGATTTGAATAGACTGATGCACTGGTCGGAGAAGTGGCAGATGCAGTTTAATATAGACAAATGCAAAGTTCTAAATGCTGGACAGGAAAATAACCATGTGACATATAAACTAAATAATGTAGATCTTAATACTACTGATTGCGAAAAGGATTTAGGAGTTCTGGTTAGCAGTAATCTGAAAACAAGACAACAGTGCATTAGTGTTCGCAATAAAGCTAACAGAATTCTTGGCTTTATATCTAGAAGTATAAATAATAGAAGTCCTCAGGTTGTTCTTCAACTCTATATAACCTTGGTTAGGCCTCATTTATACTAGGCTGCTCAGTTTTGGTCACCGTATTACAGAATGGATATAAATGCTCTGGAAAACGTACAGAGGAGGATGACAAAGATGATCCCATGTATCAGAAATCTTCCCTATGAGGATAGACTGAGGACCCTGAATCTGCACTCTCTCGAAAGGCGTAGAATTAGGGGGGATATGATCGAGGTGTATAAATGGAAAACAGGAATAAATGAAGAGGATGTAAATAGCGTGCTGAAAATTTCCAGGCAAGACAGGACTCGCAGCAATGGTTTCAAGTTGGAAAAATTCAGATTCAGGAAGTATATAGGAAAGCACTGATTTGGTAATAGAGTTGTGGATGAGTGGAACAAACTCCCGAGTACAGTTATTCAGGCTAAAACGTTGTGTAGTTTTAAAAATAGGCAAGATAAATACATGAGTGGGTGTGGGTGGGTGTGAGTTAGACCTGACTAGCTTGTGCTGCTGGGTCTGGTGCAGTACTCCTTCCTTGAGCGGAGGTGACCAGACTGGGTGGGTCATTGGGCTTATCCGGGGCGGGGGAGACATGGACCTGCCCTGCATGGGTCAGTAGGCCTGCTGCAGTGTTCCTTCTTTCTTATGTTCTTATGTTACAGTAAATCAATATTCAACGTAAATCTGTAAAATTATCTCTTTGTTTTGTATTTGCAGACTCTAGAACATTGAGAAGTGCAAAATAACCCTTAAGATCTCTGGTAATTATAATGATTATGAAAGCAGTAATCTCACTAAGATCCCCATTGGTAACTGTAGGTTACCAGTAGTCTCTTTCAAGGGTCGCCGCCCCCTTTGGTCTGGTCCCAGACCAGGTGTCTTGTGGTCTGGTCCCAGACCAGGTGTCTTGTGGTCTGGTCCCAGACCAGGTGTCCTGGTTGCTGGCCTAATCCATCAGGCAAATAATTTCATTAAATAAATAATTTTCAGATCATCCCTTGAACTAAAGGACACTGATGAACACTGAAGGACACTGATGAACGCTGAAGGACACTGATGAACACTGAAGGACACTGATGAACACTGAAGGACACTGATGAACACTGAAGGACACTGATGAACACTGAAGGACACTGATGAACACTGAAGGACACTGATGAACACTGAAGGACACTGATGAACACTGAAGAACACTGATAAACACTTAAGAACACTGATAAACACTTAAGAACATTGATAAACACTTAAGAACACTGATAAACACTTAAGAACATTGATAAACACTTAAGAACATTGATAAACTCTTAAGAACACTGATAAACACTTAAGAACACTGATAAACACTTAAGAACACTGATAAACACTTAAGAACATTGATAAACACTTAAGAACATTGATAAACACTTAAGAACACTGATAAACACTTAAGAACATTGATAAACACTTAAGAACACTGATAAACACTTAAGAACACTGATAAACTCTTAAGAACACTGATAAACACTTAAGAACACTGATAAACTCTTAAGAACACTGATAAACACTTAAGAACACTGATAAACTCTTAAGAACACTGATAAACACTTAAGAACACTGATAAACACTTAAGTACACTGATAAACTCTTAAGAACACTAATAAACACTTAAGAACACTGATAAACTCTTAAGAACACTGATAAACACTTAAGAACACTGATAAACACTTAAGAACACTGATAAACACTTAAGAACACTGATAAACTCTTAAGAACACTAATAAACACTTAAGAACACTGATAAACACTTAAGAACACTGATAAACACTTAAGAACATTGATAAACACTTATGAACACTGATAAACACTTAAGAACATTGATAAACACTTATGAACACTGATAAACACGTAAGTGCACTGATAAACACTTAAGAACACTGATAAACACTTAAGAACACTGATAAACACTTAAGAACATTGATAAACACTTATGAACACTGATAAACACGTAAGTGCACTGATAAACACTTAAGAACACTGATAAACACTTAAGAACACTGAAGAATACTGATAAACACATAAGAGAACTAATAGATTCTTTAAGTAAAGTACAAAACCCGTGTTGTTCATACAGTACGGCTGCCTGATGAACACTGATGAACGTTGATGAATACACTAAAACACGAGAAACCAAGTGTTTTTAATCATTCGCTCAACAGACAGTTTGATAAAGCAATTTATATTGGTCTATTTGCATATTACCATTCATCAGTTACATATTACCATTCATCAGTTGCATATTACCATTCATCAGTTACATATTACCATTCATCAGTTACATATTACCATTCATCAGTTACATATTACCATTCATCAGTTGCATATTACCATTCATCAGTTACATATTACCATTCATCAGTTACATATTACCATTCATCAGTTACATATTACCATTCATCAGTTACATATTACCACTCATCAGTTACATATTACCATTCATCAGTTACATATTACCATTCATCAGTTACATATTACCATTCATCAGTTACATATTACCATTCATCAGTTGCATATTACCATTCATCAGTTACATATTACCATTCATCAGTTACACATTACCATTCATCAGTTGCATATTACCATTCATCAGTTACATATTACCATTCATCAGTTACATATTACCATTCATCAGTTACATATTACCATTCATCAGTTGCATATTACCATTCATCAGTTACATATTACCATTCATCAGTTACACATTACCATTCATCAGTTGCATATTACCATTCATCAGTTACATATTACCATTCATCAGTTACATATAACCATTCATCAGTTACATATTACCATTCATCAGTTGCATATTACCATTCATCAGTTACATATTACCATTCATCAGTTGCATATTACCATTCATCAGTTACATATTACCATTCATCAGTTGCATATTACCATTCATCAGTTACATATTACCATTCATCAGTTGCATATTACCATTCATCAGTTACATATTACCATTCATCAGTTGCATATTACCATTCATCAGTTACATATTACCATTCATCAGTTGCATATTACCATTCATCAGTTACATATTACCATTCATCAGTTACATATTACCATTCATCAGTTACATATTACCATTCATCAGTTGCATATTACCATTCATCAGTTACATATTACCATTCATCAGTTGCATATTACCATTCATCAGTTACATATTACCATTCATCAATTGCATATTACCATTCATCAGTTACATATTACCATTCATCAGTTACATATTACCATTCATCAGTTACATATTACCATTCATCAGTTACATATTACCACTCATCAGTTACATATTACCACTCATCAGTTACATATTACCATTCATCAGTTACATATTACCATTCATCAATTGCATATTACCATTCATCAGTTACATATTACCATTCATCAGTTACATATTACCATTCATCAGTTACATATTACCATTCATCAATTGCATATTACCATTCATCAGTTACATATTACCATTCATCAGTTTTCATATTACCATTCATCAATTGCATATTACCATTCATCAGTTACATATTACCATTCATCAGTTACATATTACCACTCATCAGTTACATATTACCACTCATCAGTTACATATTACCATTCATCAGTTACATATTACCATTCATCAATTGCATATTACCATTCATCAGTTACATATTACCATTCATCAGTTACATATTACCATTCATCAGTTACATATTACCATTCATCAATTGCATATTACCATTCATCAGTTACATATTACCATTCATCAGTTACATATTACCATTCATCAATTGCATATTACCATTCATCAGTTACATATTACCATTCATCAGTTACATATTACCATTCATCAGTTACATATTACCATTCATCAATTGCATATTACCATCATCAATTGCATATTACTATTCATCAATTGCATATTACCATTCATCAGTTGCATATTACCATTCATCAGTTACATATTACCATTCATCAATTGCATATTACCATTCATCAATTGCATATTACCATTCATCAGTTACATATTACCACTCATCAGTTACATATTACCATTCATCAATTGCATATTACCATTCATCAGTTACATATTACCATTCATCAATTGCATATTACCATCATCAATTGCATATTACCATTCATCAATTGCATATTACCATTCATCAGTTGCATATTACCATTCATCAGTTGCATATTACCATTCATCAGTTACATATTACCATTCATCAATTGCATATTACCATCATCAATTGCATATTACTATTCATCAATTGCATATTACCATTCATCAGTTGCATATTACCATTCATCAGTTACATATTACCATTCATCAATTGCATATTACCATCATCAATTGCATATTACCATTCATCAATTGCATATTACCATTCATCAGTTACATATTACCATTCATCAGTTGCATATTACCATTCATCAGTTACATATTACCATTCATCAGTTGCATATTACCATTCATCAGTTACATATTACCATTCATCAGTTGCATATTACCATCATCAATTGCATATTACCATTCATCAATTGCATATTACCATTCATCAGTTACATATTACCATTCATCAGTTGCATATTACCATTCATCAGTTACATATTACCATTCATCAGTTGCATATTACCATTCATCAGTTGCATATTACCATTCATCAGTTACATATTACCATTCATCAGTTACATATTACCATTCATCAGTTACATATTACCATTAATCAATTGCATATTACCATTCATCAGTTACATATTACCATTCATCAGTTACATATTACCATTCATCAGTTACATATTACCATTCATCAGTTACATATTACCATTCATCAGTTACATATTACCATTAATCAATTGCATATTACCATTCATCAGTTACATATTACCATTCATCAGTTACATATTACCATTAATCAATTGCATATTACCATTCATCAGTTACATATTACCATTAATCAATTGCATATTATCATTAATTAATTGCATATTACCATTAATCAATTGCATATTACCATTCATCAATTGCATATTACCATTCATCAGTTGCATGTTACCATTCATCAGTTACATATTACCATTCATCAGTTACATATTACCATTCATCAGTTGCATGTTACCATTCATCAGTTGCATGTTACCATTCATCAGTTGCATGTTACCATTCATCAGTTACATATTACCATTCATCAGTTACATATTACCATTCATCAATTGTACATTACAATTCATCAGTTGCATATTACCATTCATCAGTTACATATTACCATTCATCAGTTGCATGTTACCATTCATCAGTTGCATGTTACCATTCATCAGTTGCATGTTACCATTCATCAGTTGCATGTTACCATTCATCAGTTACATATTACCATTCATCAGTTACATATTACCATTCATCAGTTACATATTACCATTCATCAGTTACATATTACCATTCATCAGTTACATATTACCATTCATCAATTGTACATTACAATTCATCAGTTGCATATTACCATTCATCAATTGCATATTACCATTCATCAATTGCATATTACCATTCATCAATTGCATATTACCATTCATCAGTTGCATATAACCATTCATCTATTGCATATTACCATCATCAATTGCATATTACCATCATCAATTTTAAAGTTATCTCTAAAATTTTGGGGCTCGTGGATTAATGTTAGCGCCTTCGACTCAAACCGAAGGACCAAGGCTCGATCCTGAGGCGAGTAGAAGCGTTATGTATGTTTCCGTCTACCTGTTAACCTTTTCCACTTAACAATAAGTAGGTACCTTGCTCTTAAGTGACTATTACGTATCCCATCCTGTCATGGAGGGAGCGACGACCCCGGTGGAACTAACCTACGCTGATTTGCTTTACCGAGTTATCCTGGGTTACTAACTCTATGGTCAGTAACGGGCGGGGACTGAACCCAGGGAGAGTCGCAAAAATGCGTCGGTCTGCAGTGTTACAACTCACCGCGGGTTCAATCTCCGCCCGTTCCGTGGTTTGTTTGCAATCGTGTCATTACAATTTCTCAAGTCATTCATCATCATCCTAGGTAATTTACACATATGCGTCTTCGTATAATGTACTCTAATACACAGCTTCACTATAATGTAAGACGTTTTCTGAAAGGCTGGATAAAATAGTCTTCAGTAATAAAGACTTCTCAGTCAGTATTTACCTTTTTGATTAAGAATTATTATTATGCAAGACAGATGTCAATCAATAATTTTATAGCATTCTCGACGTTAATTATTATTCCATTCATGGGAGGAGTGCTAAACCCGTAGGGGGTCATAGAGCACCTGGGATAATAAGAGGCACTCGGGTTCAGTCGATATTAATAGGGGACAGGGGAGGAGCTCTTAATCCAAGGAACTGGATTTGACCTTCCCATCTTTTGGATCGAACCCGAGTGCTTCCCTGACGTTCTATGATCTTACGGGTTTAGCGCGTTGTTGTGATTAAACTGAATAGATTGACCAGGCCAAGGCTCTCGCTTCACACGGCAAGGGTCCGGGTTCGATTCCCGGCGAGGGTAGAAACATTTGGAGTGTTTCTTTACACCCGTTGTCTATGTTCACCAATCATTAAAATGGGTACCTGGGCATTAGTGGACTGGTGTGGCCCGGTGGTGGCCCGGTGGTGGCCCGGTGGCCTGGTGGCTAAAGCTCCCGCTTCACACACGGAGGGCCCGGGTTCGATTCCCGACGGGTGGAAACATTTCGACGCGTTTCCTTACACCTGTTGTCCTGTTCACCTAGCAGCAAATAGGTACCTGGGTGTAAGTCGACTGGTGTGGATCGCATCCTGGGGGACAAGATTAAGGACCCCAATGGAAATAAGTTAGACAGTCCTCGATGACGCACTGACTTTCTTGGGTTATCCTGGGTGGCTAACCCTCTGGGGTTAAAAATCCGAACGAAATCTTATCTTATCATCCTGGGATAAAACTGACCTAATTTGCGGGAAATGCTCTGCATAACAAGCGGCTTTCTATACAGTAGTATGTCATTGATGTCAGCTAGACCTGTATACCTTGTACATGTACTTGTAGAAATAAAGATATTATTATTATTATTATTAACTGTATAAGAAGATATTAACTGGATTATTTTCTTCAACAGAGGGGCGGCTACTCACCAGTCGACAGCAGCCCAGCGAGGTTTGCTCACAGCATCCTAACTCCCTTCACTCCTGTCAAAGGTTATAAGCCTGTATCCTTCAGTCCCCCACCTCCAACTAAGATCCTTCCTGTAAACTAACGATCATAAGTAAAGGTTCAAATGTACACAACTAATTTGATATAGTTTATGACTAACGGCAACAGAAAACGATGCCATAATTCTTTACATTAAAGAAAATGGTGTCAGCTTTAGTTCCTGGAGCAGTGACTAAAGAAAATAGAGAACTTTATAGTTACTGTAAAGTCCTGCTGTTAGCAAGAGAATAGCTAGTAAGTAATAGCTATAAGAGAATGAAGAATGGAATCAGTGTGCCAAAATGTAAACCGAGAGTTAGTTAACATGGATGGATACAAAATTGTCTATAGGGGGTTTAATGTAAAATAAAAGTGGGGACTGTACACTGGTGCAGTTTGTCTCTTGCACATACTGGCCTCGTATTAGCTTCATGTATGAACACCGCCGTGTTCACCTCATGACAGCTGACTTTTGAAGGTTCTAAGCTTTAATGTTTCCGTCCAGTATGAGTGAGAAAAATATGTCTATGCTGACTTTGCGTACAGTGTTTAGGGTTATGTATGAGTGTGTACTCACCTCCCTGTGTTTGCTGGGATTGTTCCATCACTGCTGTGTGTGTGTGTGTGTGTGTGTGTGTGTGTGTGTGTGTGTGTGTGTGTGTGTGTGTGTGTGTGTGTGTGTGTGTGTGTGTGTGTGTGCCCACGCTCATATGTGCGCTCTCGCTCGCTGAATAAGCAAACTTATGTAAATTAATAAATAATTTTATGTCGGTATCTCTGCGTGCAAATTAATAGATATATATTGATAGACGTAACTGTATATTTTGTTAAGTTTCGTAATATATATATGTCGTGCCGAATAGGAAAAACTGGTCAACTAACAATAAATCAATTAAAATTCAGTCCTTTCTAAAATTTTCTCTTATACGTTTAAAGATTTTTTTCATTTATGTTAATGTAAAAACTAATAATTTTGTACCAAAAGAGCCTTAGAAAACTTACCTAACCTTATTATAATAAGCGTAATTTAATGTAGCCTAATCTAACTATATATATTTTTGATAAGTTTACAATAATTTAGGTTCAGAAAGATTTTTGCCAAATTACTGCATACACAAATTTTTGCTTGCCTTATTCGGCAAGAAGAGTTTTGCTATTTAAGCCAAAATAGCAAGTTTTACCTATTCGGCACGACGTGTATATATATTTATATATACACTAGAGGCCAACTAGTGTTGGCCACTAGAGGCCAACACCTGTTTAATAAATTAGTGTTTCGAGATACTGAGATGCGCCTTGCACTCTTGTATTATGTTCCCCATATAAACTAGATCTTAGGAAGAACGAAAGTTTGTTTTATATACGAATAACTCGAATAACTGCATTTCGTGTTTATGCGTGCGTAACCCATTAGTGTATGGTCCATTTAAATGGGGTTATTTTGGTAGCCATATTCTGAAGGCTGATTTGTGAGCAATAACAAAATAGTTAATGATCTTTAGTTAGCAAGTTTGTTTCACTTCAGACGGTCATGCCTCTTGTTTATACAGATTTTTAGTAATAAATATTACAAATATTACAAATAAACATCGCATAAAAGAATTATTTTTGCGCCATTTGACAGATTTTCGGGAGACATCGAAGTTAATTTTATAATTATACAATTTAATAGAAGTAATTCATTTAGCGAATCAATATTCAGAACGCGGCTGCCAGGGAGCGTTGAAAGCCTAGATCAGCCTCAACAGGGAGCGTTGAAAGCCTAGTTCAGCCTCAACAGGGAGCGTCGAAAGCCTAGTTCAGCCTCAACAGGGAGCGTTGAAAGCCTAGTTCAGCCTCAACAGGGAGCGTTGAAAGCCTACTTCAACCTCAACAGGGAGCGTTGAAAGCCTACTTCAACCTCAACAGGGAGCGTTGAAAGCCTAGTTGAACCTCAACAGATTTAGGTAAGGTTGGTCATAGATTCAATACCCGAGAAAGTCTAACATATCAATTATATTTTGTATATTTTCATAGGGTTCTATGCATAATTAATATTTTACTCTGGGAGAGATATTTTAGGATCTTACTGATCACGAACATTGTATATTTGTACTATAAATAATATTGTTTTGTATTAAAAGATCCTAACATTTGCTTTGGTATCTAACAAAATAAAGAAATATTTAAGAAATAAATAGTTTTAATGTTTTCCTTCAGTTTTTATTTTATGTAATTAGGGGAAAAAGGTAATTAGGTAGAGGTTGTTTGGTGTTGCTGGGAAATGAGAAATATTCTGCCTCTATCATAGGGGAGGATAAATATAGTCCAGTGGATCAACAGCGCCTCCTTATTTAATTATTTTTTAACCTCAAGGGGGAAGAATAACGATTAAACAATTTTTTGGAGGATATATTGATATATGTTGTCTTTGGTCTGTGTTAGTGGTCTTTATGTCAGGGGCAGTGTAGCGTGCAGAGGGGGAGGAGCCGTGGCTCCTGGCGTCCAGTGGGGGGGGGGGGATCCAATTAGAGAGGGAAATAAGATAGAGATTTTGAAATTTTAGCGGTGATAAATACATTTTTTGAGGCTTACTGCACTACAGAGGCAGTGGTTAGCCCTTCATTCCTTTAATTAACATGGTGTATCCTCTCTGTCCAGAGAAATTGGTGCCTCCACACGCACGCGCATGACGTACGTGGAACGAACAGCGGTTTGTCCACGTTACCAGAAACAGAGAAATTGTGGAGAGATACACAAATAACCCGCACATAAAAGAGAGAAGCTTACGACGACGTTTCGGTCCGACTTGGACCATTGACAAAGTCACACTGAGACTTGTGACTTTGTCAATGGTCCAAGTCGGACCGAAACGTCGTCGTAAGCTTCTCTCTTTTATGTGCGGATTATTTGTGTATCGTTCCAGTCACGGTATTGTGCCCTTTTGTTATTTATAAATTGTGGAGAGAAAATGGTTGTTTTATTCTCCATATCGGAAAGCATGCAAATGTTATTTTATTTTTTATTTGTTTATTTTTTTGATTTTCAAAGGAGCAGTTGTCATCTGTGTCAGACTTTGGAAAGGAAGACGGTTTCTCCACTTGGAGAAAATTAAATCCATAGTAAATGTCTGCTGAAAAGAAAAAAATTGAAAGCTATAACTGAACGGATTGTCGAGGTTATATCCTTTCTGGCAAAATAGAATCTGGTCCATCGTGGACATTGAGGAGAAGGAATGTCTAAGTTATCAGAGCCCGAGGAGACAGTTGGTGAAAATACAGGAAACTTTCTAGCAACACTCAGACTTACGGCCAAATATGATGTAATCTCAGCAGAACACTTGGAGAGAGGGAAAGAGAAACCAAAAAGTGTCACCTGTTTGTCCAACAGAATTGAAAACGAAATAATCGATTTTCTTGGTGAAACTGTCAAGAAAAATATAATTTCCGACGCAAAATATTTTAGCATAATGCTGGATTCAACTGCAGATATTGTCCATGCGTCTATGCAAGTGAGGTTCAACCTGTTGTTACATTTCTTGGCAGTCTAGAAAAAGTCTTTACTTTTTTCTTCATCTACTTCTCGTTGGGAAGTGTTAAAATCATTTGTCACTCGGACTGTGAAAATACAGTGTGACACAAGATGGAGTTCCAGTCACGATGCTGTACAAGTAATCCACGAAGAGTGTGACAACGTTATTGCAAGCTTTCAGCACCTGCTGGGAGGAGAATTTTCAAGGGAAACCAAATCTGATGCAGGATCACTACTGAACTCTCTTCAACAGCTCCCGTTTATAGGTTTATTAAAATTTTGGTACCCAGTTTTATTTCATGTTTCCTCTGTGTTTACATATTCAAAATATCTCCATTTCTCATATTTCTCAATACTAGGCCTTATATTTGAGTGTTTGGGGCATACAGTCAAAGAGTTGGCCCCGGGCATCACCAGATCTCTGCACGTCACTGGTCAGGAGTCGCTGATGCAGTTCTCCACAACGGGGCCAAGAGCCCCGTTGTTAACACCTCTGTTGTAAAGTTAGTGTAAATGTAACCGTAGATAACCCAGTTAAGTCAGTTGTATGGTTTATTTACTCACTAATTCTCACATTTTTCAGGCACATACTGTTATTATTAATTTGGTTGCCAAGTTATCAGCTGATTGTTAAGATGTAGTTGCTGAATAAACTTATACCTTACTCATAGTCTCAATAAAACTTTTAAGACATACAACAGTTGCTTGTATGTCAGCGTCATACAACATATTTATGTCAGTTTACTACTGCAATACTGACTCTTAAAAGCACATGATTATATTACAATACAAAAATAAATTTCCCTTTTCTCTGAAACTTGTGTTATTAGGCAGTTTTAGTTCTAACGTTGAAGTGTGAATACAATGACTGGCTTTTACATCAACTGATAACCCATTCCATTCCTTTATCGTTAACTAAAAGAAAAGGTTTGAAGCCTGGCAACTTACTTCTTTAGAACTGGATACCAGGAAAGAAAAGCATATAATTTACCTATTTATAAGTTCTAGATACCTCCTGGTGGCCAAGAATATTAGATCAGTATGCTTGTTTCGGGGCCGCATCCCTAAGAACACTTGGTATTACTAACTGCATAAACGAACAATCTTTCAGGTCTGCTGGCTGCTACAGTAGACCTTTCATCCCAAAATTCACAAATAGGCTAGGTAAATTTACGGTTCTCAGATTTATTTATTTCCAAGTATTCAGTAAATTTTCTAAGACTGTCATCCTTCAGTTGACATTTCCTCAGTTTTTTTTTCATTCCCATTAAATGCACCTACATTATTACTCAAGGCATTATTACTCAGGGCAACGAACTTTCTTTATGAGGTGGTGCCTTCCTATATATATAATATATATTAATATATATATATATATATATATATATATATATATATATATATATTATATTATATATATATATATATATATATTTTATATATATATATATATATTATATATATATATATTATATATATTATACAGTAGTAGGTTGGTAGACAGCAAAACCCCCCAGGGAAGTACTACCGTCCTGCCAGATGACTGTGAAACAGAAACCTGTAACTGTTTTGCATGATGGTAGGATTGCTGGTTTTCTTTTTCTGTCTCATAAACACGCTAGATAACAGGGATATCTTGCTACTCCAACTTATACTTTGGTCACACTTCACAGACATGCACATGCATATATATATACATACATCTAGGTTTTTCTCCTTTTTCTACATAGCTCTTGTTCTTCTTTATTTCTTCTATTGTCCATGGGGAAGTGGAAAAGAATCTTTCCTCCGTAAGCCATGCGTGTCTTATGAGGCGACTAAAATGCCGGGAGCAATGGGCTAGTAACCCCTTCTCCTGTAGACACTTACTAAAAAAGAGAAGAAGAAAAACTTTATAAAACTGGGATGCTTGAATGTGCGTGGATGTAGTGAGGATGACAAGAAACAGATGATTGCTGATGTAATGAATGAAAAGAAGTTGGATGTCCTGGCCCTAAGCGAAACAAAGCTGAAGGGGGTAGGGGAGTTTCGGTGGGGGGAAATAAATGGGATTAAATCTGGAGTATCTGAGAGAGTTAGAGCAAAGGAAGGGGTAGCAGTAATGTTGAATGATCAGTTATGGAAGGAGAAAAAAAGAATATGAATGTATAAATGAAAGAATTATGTGGATTAAAGTAAAGGTTGGATGCGAGAAGTGGGTCATAATAAGCGTGTATGCACTGGAGAAGAGAGGAATGCAGAGGAGAGAGAGAGATTTTGGGAGATGTTAAGTGAATGTATAGGAGCCTTTGAACCAAGTGAGAGAGTAATTGTGGTAGGGGACATGAATGCTAAAATAGGGAGAAACTTTTAGAGAGGGTGTGGTAGGTAAGTTTGGGGTGCCAGGTGTAAATGATAATGGGAGCCCTTTGACTGAACTTTGTATAGAAAGGGGTTTAGTTATAGGTAATACATATTTTAAGAAAAAGAGGATAAATAAGTATACAAGATATGATGTAGGGCGAAAGGACAGTAGTTTGTTGGGTTATGTATTGGTAGATAAAAGACTGTTGAGTAGACTTCAGGATGTACATGTTTATAGAGGGGCCACAGATATATCAGATCACTTTCTAGTTGTAACTACGCTGAGAGTAAAAGGTAGATGGGATACAAGGAGAATAGAAGCATCAGGGAAGAGAGAGGTGAAGGTTTATAAACTAAAAGAGGAGGCAGTTAGGGAAAGATATAAACAGCTATTGGAGGATAGATGGGCTAATGAGAGCATAGGCAATGGGGTCGAAGAGGTATGGGGTAGGTATAAAAATGTAGTGTTAGAGAGAGTGTTCAGCAGAAGTTTGTGGTTACAGGAAAGTGGGTGCAGGAAGGAAGAGGAGCGATTGGTGGAATGATGATGTAAAGAGAGTAGTAAGGGAGAAAAAGTTAGCATATGAGAAGTTTTTACAAAGTAGAAGTGATGCAAGGAGGGAAGAGTATATGGAAAAAAAGAGAGAGGTTAAGAGAGTGGTGAAGCAATGTAAAAAGAGAGCAAATGAGAGAGTGGGTGAGATGTTATCAACAAATTTTGTTGAAAATAAGAAAATGTTTTGGAGTGAGATTAACAAGTTAAGGAAGCCTAGAGAACAAATGGATTTGTCAGTTAAAAATAGGAGAGGAGAGTTATTAAATGGAGAGTTAGAGGTATTGGGAAGATGGAGGGAATATTTTGAGGAATTGTTAAATGTTGATGAAGATAGGGAAGCTGTGATTTCGTGTATAGGGCAAGGAGGAGTAACGTCTTGTAGGAGTGAGGAAGAGCCAGTTGTGAGTGTGGGGGAAGTTCGTGAGGCAGTAGGTAAAATGAAAGGGGATAAGGCAGCCGGGATTGATGGGATAAAGATAGAAATGTTAAAAGCAGGTGGGGATATAGTTTTGGAGTGGTTGGTGCAATTATTTAATAAATGTATGGAAGAGGGTAAGGTACCTAGGGATTGGCAGAGAGCATGTATAGTTCCTTTGTATAAAGGCAAAGGGGACAT